CTATGTCTAACCAGTAATACACTCTTGAGTAGAATATTACTGGTTAGACATAGTGTAGTTTGTAAGTTTGTAAAAAAAAATTTTGTCAATATAACCTTACTCATATATATATATATGAGAAACTTTATATTTACAAACTTTTTGTTTACAAACTATACTATGTCTGACTGGTCATACTTTAATCAAAAGTGTATGATCGGTCATATTTAGTATAATTTGTAAAAAAAATTATAAACGGATCGTACCCCTATATATATATAATTATTATTATTTGGAAAAAAAAAAATTTGGAATTTGGTATCTAACGGGATAAAAGGGGGATGAGACCAACGGAGAACAGTGCTTGAGATTCACGGAAATGCGTATCGTTTTCAGCAGAACAGTGTTAATTATAAAGCATATCTAGATTGAAGTCGTGGACTGGCATTGCAGGAAGCATCCTTGAACTTTCTCAGCTGATACCTTTTTTTGTTTTCACATTACTTTGCATGGATTTGAGTCACTTTATGTCAAATTAATTTCTGTTTCACATTTGTATGTTTCCGTAGCGTGTATCCCCTTTTTCCATATTGATCCATGATCATTTTATCATTTTCTCTTCAGAAGTAAAATGTATTTAAGAATAAGTAACTCTCATTAATCTAGTTGTTTTATTTTTGCATATTTAATAATTGTTAAAATAAAATAAGATAGGATAAAATAAATGGATTGATGTTTCTCCTTTAAATAAAATATCTCCAACAATTTCAAAATAATCTCATTTTGGAATCTAAAAAAATAAAACAAAGTATTTTAATAAAATTTATAATTTTAGAAAAAAAATAAAATTTTTAAAATACCTGCACTTTTTTCAACAACCCCAAAACGTGGCTACCGTTGTTAATGATAACTTTGAGTGTGAAAGTGTAACTATAATGTTTCATGTGATGTGATATGTCAGGGTCAAAACCCAAGTAAATAACTGAGGTCCTTACTCGGTTTCAATAGATCAAAAGAAGCTCGGTTACTTTTTCAGACTCCAATGGCAGGACAAGAATCTCAGCCACAAAAGAAATTAAAGGCTTTGAAATTGGGTCATTTGGTTGAAACCTTATCCGTATAAAGTTGCATAATTTAGATGAATAATTTGTCCTATTACATTAATGCGGCCAACAATTATCCTTAAAATCTGAGAAAAGTCTTTTTTTTTTTTTTTTAAGTGTGTAGCATTGCTCTAGATTTATACCTAGGAAAAGTTTCTCAAACACTCATTTATTACTCTCTCTCTGTGAGACTCCCTTTGTGTACCATTTCTCCAGTAACAAATTGAGAGATTTGTGCTGTTTTATTTTGCTGAGTTCCCATATAACAGAAAACGAGTGATTATTATCAGCTTATCAACAGCAGAAGTAGTATATGATTCAAATTTCAGGCAATTAATCGGAGCCTAAAATTTCGGCTTATGCATGAACATATATATGACCATCGCCTATTACAGGAACAACTCATTTTCACTGAAGTGTGGAATGGAAATGCATTTTACATTGAAGTCAAACTGAACACATTTTTTTTTTTTTTTGGATATTATATGACAAAGATAAGTCAAAAGTTAGAATTTCACTGTGATTGGAAAAAAAAATCGTGCATATATTGAACAAAACTCCATATATGTTAGAGATATTAATATAATATCTTTTATCAGTTTAAATTGTTGGGTTAAAATGTTTATATTATAAGGTATTAAAGCTTGTGATCATGAGTTCCAATATCATTGCCTAACAAATATTAAAGTCATCATTTCTTATTATATCCTGGAATAAGAATATTTATTATTAAATAATATTTACAGTGAAAATTTTTATTATTTGATAAAATTTTCTATATAGATGAAAATTTAACGATTTTATTTTTTTGGTAAAAATTAGTTAAATAAGACTTTGTATAATTCCCTCTCAGCTTTTTTGTTGGTACAAATCAAGTAATGCTGAAATTTTAAATAATTTTCCAAAATTTAATTTTTTTTACTACATATTTTAAAAGTATAAATGGATGATCATAAATAAATACGTTACTGTATGTTGTGATTATAGATTTTGAAAAGTATAAAAATTAAAAAAATTACCAAAAAAAAAGGTATAAAACTAGATAGGAGAGGATCCATTCACATAAGACTTAACCCTTTGCATAATATTAATTATTAGACAAATAATACTTTTTTAACATTCTAGATTGTTGGATTCAAATTTAGACAAAGTAAATCCATATTTTAATGCAATTTTATTTCTTTTTTATTATTTAAATTTGATATAAGTACATTTTTAAGTATTAAATATATATATATATAGTTAATTTTATTGCAAATATCATATAAAATGAATAAAATATATAATTATAAGTAGAGAAGAAAATATCTTTCACTTAAAATAATTCAAAATAACAATTAAAATAAATAAAAAAATTCTTACTCGCTAAGATATATATTCATTATATAATCCTATAAAATTATATATAAAGTATATTTTTATTATTATTTTGTTTATAATTTATTTTATATTTATAAATACTTAAATTTTTTCTTTCTTTTTTAAAATAATAAAAAATTTGATAAAGAAAAATTTTCGGCCTATGAGTAAACTCTAATCTAGCCCCCAAAATTATAAGGCTCTCGTGTTAGGACAAAAAAAAAAAAAAAAAAAAAAAAAAATCTTACCATAAAATAAACTTTGGAAAATTGCCCACAAACTACAGCCCATGTTAATTTAACAACTCTAGTAAAATATGTCGGGATTTAAGTCCTTAACCATTTGTACTTCACGAAGAATGCCAATGACTTATGAAGCAAGTCTGAGGAACTGATTCTTGGATACACATTATACTTTAATATTTATATATAGAACATGACAGTTGGACCTTTTGTGGTCATGAGATTTTCTTAGCAAAGCGTTATCATCATGAAATTTCATGAAGGCATTTAACCCAATATGCATAGTGACTGCAAGGATTCTACACAATTACTTTTAATTGGTTTAATTTAATTTTTAACTCGAAGGAAATAGATAAAGTGATTTGGCTTAAAAATTAAACCAATTTTAAAAATATAATCATTTTAATGCAATTCAGATTTATAATATTCTTCTATTTATTTGAATTTTTTTCACATCCCTAAATTCTTCAAAAATAAATGAAAGTAAAAAAAATAAAATGTATAGCTGGAAGGGCTTTTTGATCACCTTATTGCAAAAAATGAAATATAGCATCACTTTAATTATTTTGGGAAATCATTGATTTATCTAATGCAAGTAAAATGTGTATAGGAAGGTATATGTTTAAGTCACATGTTATCCCTATACACGAGTTGTGATACAATCCACGCAATACAAGACACGCATGCTACTCTATATGTGTTCAAGTCGTGCATACTCCTAATGTGCATTTTGCAAAGAGTGACATAATAAATATTTTTTGAATTTTATACAAGTTGCACAAGCGCATCTCAAATGTGCATATTTCACTTACAAATTTCACTTACAGTAGATAGATAAATAATTTGTTAAAAGAATTAACGATGGTATGTTTCAATTTTTTTCAACTGGAAGGATTAAAAAACCAATATGAAGAGGAACACACGTCAGGTAATACATAACTACATTGGGTCCATGTCCGAGTGGATCATTATCATATCAATAGCAATACACGTTGAAAAATACTCTCCCTCCTCAGTTAAAGTTAATACATAATTACATAGGGCCTTACGTAGGTCCATGTTTCAGTGACTAAGGGTATTTTTGATTCCTATTCTTAAAAACAGTTTTTAAGTTTTTAAAATAAAAAAATCAAAAATTCTGTTTGAAAATGATTGTTTTGCCAAATGCTTTTCAAAACAATGACTCTTTTTTAGTTTTAAAAATCAGAAAACCAAAACAACCTCCCGATGTTCTTCTGCGCTGTTTTTGGTTTTTTTTGTTTAGGCGGTGGCAAAATTGTAAATATCAGATTTCATTAAAGGCAATTTTGTAAATATTAAGACTCAAAATAATTACTTTACGATGGTATTTTTGTAATTCTAAAACTTCATTAAGGCATTTTTGTAAATAATTACAATTTTTTTATAGCTTTAATTTAAATACACTCAAACAAGTTTTTTTGTTTTTTACTCTCAAAATCAGTTTTTAAAATTCATATCTAAAACAGTTTTTAAAAATAAAAAATCTAAAACACTTTCAAACACACCCGAAGTAATTGTGTAGTGTTGTTTTATTATTGTTCCATTTTTTTATTAAGGATTCTTAGTTAATTACTTAATTTATTTCTTAGTTGCTCTGTTGTATCGATTCAATCTTCAACACTACAGAGCGACAGGCCGTTTAGCACAAGGTTCTGATATGAAAAGGTTCTTGGTTCTAGTCCTTTATTAAGCAATTTTTTTTCTCCTTTAGTTACTCATTCTGTACAGAGGAAGGTTATACTTATAATTCTTTTTTTTTTTCACAACCTCTTACAATTATATTTTAACACTGTTGATTTCCGTCAATTAACGGTTATGATTTTCATAAATTAAGCCCATTAATTAATTATTAATTCTGAATAAATGATAATTGTTGATTGACGAAAATCAACGGTGTTAAGATATGGTTGTAAGAAGTTGTAAAAAAAAATTATAAGTATAACCTTCCACTTCTATATAACGGAGAAAAAATTATATATGCCTCGATAAAATGACTGATACAAAATCTAGAAATCATAAAAGCCTCAAAGCACAATCCAATTATGGTGGAAGCACGATTAAATTCATAAAACCACAAAGCACAATCCAATTAGGGTGGAAGCACGATACAAAATCTTAAAATCATAAATCATAAATGCAGAAGCACACAGAGAAAATATTTTTATACTAGTATTGTCACTCAGATTTTTACACATGAAAAAGAATAATCTATATAATTTATTTCAGCAGGCATTATAGTTTTCAATTCATCTAAATTTTTCTATTTTATAGACAAGAGAGTCTCTAACCCCATTTAATGGAGAAGATTCCAAAGAAGATCTCAAAGGAAGGGAGTGGCAACAAGAAACGTGTGAAGAAGAATGTGGAGAGTTACAAAATTTACATCCTCAAGGTGTTGAAACAGGTGCACCCTGACATTGGCATTTCTAGCAAGGCCATGGGGATTATGAACAGTTTCATCATTGACAACTTCAAGAAGGTCGCTCAAGAGGCCTCACGCGTGGCCCAATACAACAAGAAGCCAACTATCACATCACGGGACATCCAGACAGCAGTGCGATTGGTGTTGCCTAGTGAATTGGCTAAACATGCCATTTCTGAGGGGACAAAGGCTGTTACCAAATTCACCAGCTCTTGATTTAGAATTTGGTGTGGTTGATTTGATTGTCTCGGGAGTGGATCTTCTCATGTGAAAAAGTGATCATGTGGTCATGTTTTTTGATCACAACCACTCATTTAAAAATTATACACTTTTTTCTCTCTTATCTCACTATCAATGAATAATTGTGATCAAAGAACATGACCACATGATCACTTTTCTACATGAGAGTATCCACTCGCGATTGTCTTTGAGATCTATGATTCTGTCTCTGAAATTTAGCATGTAAATGTAATGTTATGAACATTTATTAATGGGAGATTTTCTTTTGAATAATGTAAGACAATGGCGTACCTAAGAAATTTTCTAGATGTCTGCATTCTTAGCTATGAAAAAGTTATTTATACATTCGGTTAGCCATGATATTCTTGGGTGAAAAAGATGACAGAGAGACTTTGTGCTTAGCCAAACGAGCAATGAGGGATCCCAGGATCAAGTTGGTTGTGTATCACCTTGCTCCTAAAGAATACAATATAGACTTGGAGTGCATAAGAGATAATGAGGTGTTAGAAGGTATTAAGAAACCAGAATATGGCTTGGAAAGTGTGAGTTATAGAAAAATGACACTAAATGATGGACCAGAGACATCTAGTATTTTACATGATATAGTAAATGAACATGACTTTTTATAGTTGGGAGAAGGCATGACTTTTCCCTCAACTTTATATCTGCAAGTGCAGACAATTGCAAGTGCAGACAATGGCTCCCACCTGGGTCCGCCATTGATGTAAAATTGTGTTTTGTTTATTTATTTTTGAGTTAATTCAACTTTAATTATCTCTTTGAGGCGAGTTGACTCCCTATCATATCCTCACAAACTTCAACTTTTTGAACTAGTTACGGGACTAATTCGGAGTGTGAGACGGATCAAAGATGAAGATATTTAAATCACTTTTAAACATGACATGTGAGGATCGAATCGAGATCTTTTCCTTTTCACTTGCTCAACTTCCTTGTTACTAACTGAACTATCATTATTCATTTATTTGGTTGTATGATTGTGTTTTAAATTGTAAATATGCTCCTGGATAATTATGGTTTTTTTTTTCATCTTAACTCGATACCTGTTTCTAAACGGTTGGCTAAATTTTCTCTTTGCTTGCCCCAATTTAATGAATGTTTGTTTACCCTGGCCCTACAACTTTATATCCTGAAATTGAACACCATTTTGAGGCATTTGGAGCTTCATTGTTTCATAAGATTGATAATGGCTTGAATCTGGTTTACTTTTGGGTGCTTACTCAATAATCTTACCAAAACTTGAGTTCACTTTGAACGGGGTTCTCCGAATCGCAAATTTGGTATTGGGTGAATTTTGTAAAGATTAATGTCCAAAGCACATCTTTTTAATCTAGCTATGTTATCTTTTTTTAGAACAAATAAAAAAAACACATTTTCATATCTGTCCACACATCCATTAACATCTTCAATTAACATTATTGACTAATTTTATCTCTTCACGAACCTCTTTTATTACTTCCTACTTTCTAGTATTTTAATATTCAGTTATTCAAAGATTCCCTGATAATAGCGTTGGTTGCCTTATATATAGGAAAAATCTATTGTACCACAGCGACAGGTACATTGCACTGTTGGGAATGCAATATGTCAGCATATATTGTACCGGAAAGAAAAAAAAAAAAAAAAAAATTTTATATTTTACATTATATCTTACTAATAAAATATAATGTGATGCACTGAATTTTAGTGCATCTGATACACTGTAGTTGCTCCCCTGTATATGGGTCCAACAATTATCAATTGGAAAACAAAATAAAAAATTGAAACAAATGCATTCGAGCTTGCTTGCATAATCCACATGAGTTTTTTTTTATTTTTCTCAATGATTCCAGCTTTCGAATGCTGGCATAGGATTAACTTTTATTAGAAAACCAAAACTATTACTAAATAATGATAATTTAGTTGGTGTCAGAAAATAGGTGGAGTAAGAATATGTGTTAAATTCTCCCCAATACCGTTTTCAAAGATGTTTAAAGTCTTAGTCTCACAAACCGCCTCAAATTGAATTAGTCATAAAATAATGAACCGATTGAAATATCTGAAAAGAAAAAATAGAGCTACTATGTTAACAAACCATAGTCCAAAGAACTATACAAATGGACCGACTCCATATCCCAATAAAAGTTATGAAAAGATCACTAGAATTTTTTTGTCAATAGATGATTACTTCTGTGTATATCTAGACTGGATATTTGGACTGTAGAATGAAAGGGTCCAATCCGTATGCTGCTGTGCAGTTTTGTGGTCCGAATTATGGTTTGGACCAGCCTCAAAGTTGGGTCGGTATGACTTATACTATGTTCAAGACGTGAGGAGTATTGACCCAAAAAACTTAAAAAATTTAAAGCGAAATTGGAATTCTTTCTAAAATGAGTCAATAAACGTACACCTATTTTTGTATTGTAATAGCGTCAATTCGTCAAATTATGTTACACTTTAAATTAAATAATAAATAAATACACCGTTGTATACTCACTTTAAATAAATTTTATCCAAAAGTAATATAGAAATTTTTACTCTCAAATTCTTCACAAAACCAAAATTGAATTGTAGAGAAGCAATTCGACTATTGATTTATAAAAATTGATAAAGCGATAATGTTTCGTCACATTAATATGCTTGTAGATTGAGAAATGGTCCAATTACTTTATTGTATCCAACATTTATCCTTAAAAAAAAAACATTTTTTTTAACTGTGCCATACTGCTTTATACCTTGTAAAAATCGTCCATATATAGAACCAAACCAAACTCCATCTATTTCATTAGATAGCTTAAATTAAAACCACATTTTAATGAAGATTAACAACAAATTAAGCCACGCCCAAGTTTCCTTCCCTTACAAAGTACAATCCCTTAAAAAGCTTAAACAGATAGATTCTGGTCCTGTCCATTTTTATTACTACTATCATTTGTCCATTTTTATTACTACTATCATTTTGAACACTAGTACGATGATGATAGTTCAAAATAAAATTATAAATTATATAATTTCGATAATATATATTTATGATATTAAAGTTTTTTTTTTTCTTCAAAAAACATATTAACTGATGTGGAACACTTCTATTGATCGATTGTACATACGACTCACTGATGTGGAGCACTCCTATTGATCAGTTGTACATACAGTTGATGTGAAACACTCCTATTGTTCGGTTGGTTGTACATACCATAATATTGTAGATTTTTTTCCTATCAAGACCGTGACATGAGTGACCCCACAATACCTGCAATAATAGCCGTTGGATCTCCCAAGACTGCTGATATCACAAACTGCACAGCCAATGCAGCAATCTCACAGCACTTTTTCACCTTCCCTTTGTTTCTTCTGTTGTTGTTATGTGAAGTCATCAGTGTATTCTTAAGGCCAGGAATGCTTGTCTCCAATTTCCTTCCTTTGCTATGTCCAATATATAACTCATGCCAATTCTCCACCAACATTTCCCTCACACAAGCCACATGCAAATTGTAGTTCTTGCATGTTGACCTGTAACTCCAACTACGTCCTTTTCTACCACAACGGTGACAGGGTGAGCTCACTTTCCTATACAAGTAGAGTTTCACTTCACCATCATCAAGCACCATTGGTAGCTTAGCACAACATGGGTGTAGGTCGAACCCACATGACTTGCAATGGTAGACAAAACCATTCACGTCCTTCTCACATGCGTTGCAGTAACGAGGAGTGTCACCTGGTGGAACAGACATGAATTGGAAGGAACATTTTGTGTAGAATGGGTGGAACAAAGTTGGGGAAGGTATGGCACAGTGCATGTGAAGATCATAGTCACAAATGGAGCATTTGTAACGTGACCCTATGCCAACTTCCTTGCAGCCATCACATTTGAATGGGAATTCAGAGTACTCAAACCTCAGCTTGTGTTGTGGGTGATTGAAGTGGGATATCTCATTGTATTTCATTGTTCTTGTATGTGTCTTTCTGATGAGAATGGCCTACGGCATGCAATTTCATATCATAGAGTAATTGTATTTATATATATATAATATATGGAGGGTGTGTGATTACAGTGATTTGGCTTATGGTTGAAGCGATTAGAAAGGAATTATGCCTCCTCCGGAGATGGTGGTGATGGTGATAAATACAGAGTTCATGGGAATCCCCACGTCAACGGGAAGGAAAAGAGGTAGACATAAGGCAAATTGGGTCTTGCCCCACAGGAGAATATATACGATTTTACATAACTTTAGGTGACTTCTAACATGTTAGATTATTTCCTGTTGTTACACATGTTTTCAATCTGTTTGTGAAATTAAGAATTGGTTTATGGTTATTTGGTTATTATATTATGCAGATGATGTAAAACATGAAATTGGAAAGTGTAGGCGAGTAATTCATTTAGTTATAATGGAGGTGTTGTAAAGAGAAAGGCCGGCTTGGCTCAGTGGTAAGCATGCTTATCGTGATGTTCAAGGTCCCGGCTTCGACTCGGCCTTTCCGCAAAAGCGGGGGTAAGGCTTGACTCGATTCCCTTCCCCAAACACTCACGCGTGGGTATTGAACTGGGTCGGCCCTTTAGGTGTTGTAAAGAGACTTAATTAGTCCCTTTTTTTTTTTGATACAACGATGGCACTGAGATTTAAACTTATAACCTCGTGCAAACTATTCAAGTCTTTTATCACTAGACCAATTCTAGTGGCTTATTAGTCTTTAATATATGACAAAATAAGTGAATATTTCAAGAAAGTAATGAAGGATCGATGAAGATAATAATACTTTAATCTAGGGATTTCATTATAGAATAAGAATTTAGCATCTATCGAGTTGAGTTAAAATGAATGCTGTGATCACAGATAAATTTTGCTTTTTATTCTGAGTTTTTCACAGCAGGGTGTTTTAAAAATAAGCAGATAATGATTGAAGGGCTCTAGATATATATCTGTCTAATTGGATTCGTTTAGTTGAAAGCTAAAGGATGATAGAGAATCACTTGCATGCAACCTCCTTCCGTGATTAAAGTTTTGGAACAAAAAGAACAAGAGAATAAATCCCATTTTATGATTATTAGTTTCTCACCTTCTAATCTTTAGGTCCATTAAGTTCTAGGAAATAAATTCCACCTTGATTGAAGGGCTTATCCATTTGTATCTTCACCAAGAATGCCAATGACCCATGATGCAAGTCTGAGGAACTGATTCTAGGATAGATTTTATACTAAAATTATATTTATAGTACATGACAAGTTGGACCTTTTGATGTTATGGGATTTTCTTAGCAAAGCATTACCATCACGAATTCATAATGGCATTTAACCGAAGATGCACAATGGCTGCAAGGTGTCACAAGGTGATTGATGTTTCAGTGGCTGAGATAAGTGATCCTTCGTGGAGAACCAATGCTATATCCTTTCTCAATTGTACTGCTTCTTTAAAGAACAAATGTCGGAAGAATTAAGCAACCCAGTTGAACAAATAATGACGAGATACTACTTTTATCCTTTTGTTTTCCTTTTAATTTTTTTGACCATTTTTTCTTTTTGTTTCTTTTAACACGAACAAACATCAGGAATCTTCAATCGAAGTGTAAGTCATTTTGTTACTTTCTCCATTGAATTCTTCTGCTGCAGCAATGGTAATCACATGACAATTATTAAAGCGGAAGTTTAATGTGATTCTCTTTTCTAGTCTCCATCTTTTTTGTCCTTCTCAAGAATGAAATTATTCCTTCCAACTTCCCCCTCTAGGCCTTTCAAAATAACCATCTTTGGCAGTGGTAACGACTCTGTAGCACCGATACGGACACGGGACACGTGACACGATACGATACGACACTCCGACACGTTAATTTTAAAAATTGTTAGATTTCGACACGTTAGGACACGTTTTCATATTAAATAATATTTTTAATTTATGTAGTGTATATTATATTTAATATTCAATAATTTAACAAAAAAATGAAACTAAACTTATAATATTCATCAATTTTGCAAAGAAACATAAGATATCCCAAATATTTATATTAAACTCAATAAAATGTTAATCGAAATCCAACAAATCTAATAGTTGAAACTAAAAACTCAACATAGCGCAACCTTTGAACCTTTTTTTTTAATTTCTATAATGCGTGTTGAAGTGTCGGAGAGTGTCGGAGTGTCGGGAAGTGTCAGACACGACACGTCAAGATTTTTGAAGTGTCGGTGCTTCATAGGGTAATGAAACTAATTCTTTTAATTTTATTTTTTTTTTATTTTTTTTGAGTACATTTCTCAAGGGTATCCCCGTCCCCTTTGGGGATGAGACTAATCCCATGCGAGTACTGTCGGACCCTTGCGGGAGGACTCTACCTAATCCGTTCTTTCCATACTCAGGGAACCACTGGTTAAGGGAACACAGACTCCTTCTATCTGTGCCAACGGGTTTGGGTTTTTAATTTACTTTAGGAAACAAAGATTATCTTTTTTAAAAACATAATTTTATATCATTTTAAGTGAAGCTTTTGGTGAGTATATACTAATATGGAAGAGAAAAAATGAAATAAGTATATGATAAATAGGGATTAGTTTTCTCATTTTATATGAGAAAATTTTTATTTTGTGCACACACAATTCCAAGGTGGGTCCCACCTATGGTAGTTAAAATCTCGATTTATCACTATATTTTTATGATTTTTTTTTCATCAAAATATTTTTACCAAAATTCAATCGTTTTTACGTTTATACGATTTGACGTTTTATAATTTTTTATCTTATTTTTGATTTTATGTAAATTCTTGTTTTTAACTACCTTATATTTTTGTCTTCTAACTTTTTTGTAAACCTGCTCATTTAAGTTGGAGAAAAAGATTTTTTCACGTGAAATAAGAAAACTATTTGTCACGATGAGTACCTTATTTATTTTTTTCAAATCTCGAAATGACATTACGAGAAATACTTTAATTCCTAATTTGAAGAAAAATTCATGATGGTCAACTTTAATTGGTGGTCAAATTAAATCAAACTGTGATAGCTTAGTTGGCGTTTGGGAACTGAACAGGTAAGGGTGAAAATATGTATTTGATCCTCCACTATCACTTTTGAAAAGAGTTTAAAGTTTTAATCTTAGACTTATATTGAATCAAACTAATTACGAAAGAGATGAACCAATTAGATTATTTTTTGAAAAAAAAAAATTAACTGGTCGTCATTAGAGCTTAGTTTATTAATCTTTCTCCCTATCTCTATTTTTCTTCCTTGACTAGTCGCCATTCAATCAATTATTTCTTTCTTTTTTTGGACATTACAAGGAATCGAACTGCACACTTAATACACCCTAAACACACCCAACACCACTAGACTATCCACCCAACACCACTAGACTATCCTAGTGGTGCTCAATCAATTATTTCTTTCTTGCTGTGACAACTATACCCGTGGTCTTAACTAAGTCTTAACAAGATAGAATAATGCTTAAAAACAAAAACAAGTGAAATGATAGACACAGACAAACATCAAATGTCATTCACTATTTATTAACTATGGCGATTCATTTCAAACGCTTGTTTTGCACTTGTTCAAACGATGCAACCCAGAGTGTGGTAACGAGCGTGGTTTCGATCCTCACCCAGCAACGTTCCAAGTCTCGTTGGAGCTATGTCCATTCTCTGTGCCCTAACGGCATCGACCCCATTGATTTTTCCCAAATCACGCTTCAACTCAAGAACAAACCTCACCTCGCATTACGCTTCTTCCACTGGACAAAATCCAAATCCCTATGCCACCACAACCTCGCTTCTTACTCCACCATCATTCACATCCTCGCACGTGGCCGCCTCAAGTCACACGCTTACGAAGCCATCCGAATCGCAATTCGCTCTTCCGATCTCGCCGCCGACGACGACAACGAAGATCGTCGTTTCAATTCGCCGCCTTTGAAGGTCTTCGAGACCCTTGTCAAGACCTACCGAGATTGTGGGTCGGCACCGTTCGTGTTCGACTTGTTGATCGAAGCGTGTTTGGAATCCAAAAAGGTTGACCCTTCAATTGAAATCGTTAGAATGTTACTCTCTCGCGGGATTAGCCCCAAAGTTAGCACCTTGAATTCTTTGATTTCTAGGGTTTGTAAAAGTCGAGGGGTAGATGCTGCTTATGCTATTTACCGAGAGTTCTTTCGGTTAGATGAGGAAAAAAATGAAATTTCGAAAAGGGGTTTTGGTTTTAGAGTTACCCCGAATGTGCATACTTATAATACATTGATGCTGTGCTGTTATCAAGTTGGTTTGTTGGAGAAGGTAGAGGAAATTTGGCATGAAATGTGTAATATTAAGTGTAATCCCAATGCTTATAGTTATAGTGTGTTGATGGCTGCTTTTTGTGAGTATGGGAGGATGGGAGATGCTGAGAAATTGTGGGCAGAAATGAGGAATGAGGAAATGGAGCCTGATGTAGTTAGTTATAATACTATAATTGGTGGGTTTTGCAAGATTGGGGATGTTGGAAGGGCTGAAGAACTTTTCAGAGAAATGGCATTGGCTGGTATTGAAAGCACTGCTTCAACTTATGAGCATCTTGTCAAGGGATATTGTAATATTGGGGATGTTGATTCGGCTGTTCTTGTTTATAAAGATATGTCTAGGAGGGCTTTCAGGCCTGATGCTTCAACCCTTGACATGATGGTTCGGTTACTTTGTGATAAGGTTAGGGTTCAGGAAGCCCTGGAGTTTGTAAGGTATGCGGTTGGTAAATTTGATTTACATCCCTTGGAAAAGAGTTATGAGGCCTTGATAAGGGGGTTATGTTTTGAGGGGAGGATGGAAGAAGCGATGAAGCTTCAGGCAGAGATGGTGGGAAAAGGGTTTCGACCTAATTCAGAAATATATGGCGCTTTTATTGATGGTTATATTGGACAAGGGAATGAGGAACTGGCAGAAGCTTTGAGGAAAGAAATGCTGCAAACTCATATGCAGAGCTAACAGAATAATAGCTTTTGTTTGCCTCTTTTTGTTGGGGGGAAATAAACTGTATACTGATCTGCTTTTGTCCTCAGACTCTATTCACAATAGTTATCTCCTGATAACCAAGCTTGTTTGTTTAGCTTAAGATAGATAGATGGCATTATACATAGAAACAAAGCTGCATATTGAACACAAATCTTTTACATCTGATGCAGTTAACGCGAGTTGCTTGTCTTAAATGTATACTTCCTTTTCAGTTTTCCATGGAAGTAACGTTTTAAGTTGACATCATTGCGCTCCTGTGTACAGTTTATCATTGAGCTTCTCTATGATTTTAACTTTCCCAAATACATGTCATGAGTTATGTAATCATACATTATTTACAAAACTGTCCCCCAGATGTAATATTTGGAAAAAAAAAATACAAAATAAATAATGATTAATCTAATATTTTACAGGGGAATTAAATGAGAATCACAATGAGGGTAATACCCAAAGGTTAAAAAGAGAGGACGCCAAAGATAGAAACCATGACAAAAAGGCCATAACTGCAGACATCCTGTACCTGCTCCAAAGCTTTGGAGGGCAAAAAGAGCCGTTGGTGTTGAGGAGGAGGTCTACAACACTAGCTGTTGAGCAAGCTGCTGCTAGTGTGAGAGTTGATAATACCTATAGCAAATAAACTGGAGTTACTAACACATGGTTGCCAGTATCTGTCTACATCAACTGATAGCATGTGGATCAGAAACTACCCACCCAATCTCCCACAACAATAATCAGTAGTATTCCTGGTTGACGAATGGGGCATTTGGCCAGAACTGAGTATCCATCTAGCAATGCTAATGTGAAACTCCATGGTATGACCAAACCCATAATTGTTACCAAATAACTTGGACATACAAAAGTAAACCAGTTAATCAACAGAAGAATCAACAAATACCATTATATGATGTAAATAACTGAAGCAGAAATGTAAGCATATTTAAAGGAAGAGTTTTATAAGAGTTATGTCGTAAGAAAAGTGATTGTGTCATGTTATAAAAATTCGTTTTTCGTGCTTTAGTTTTTTTTTTTTTTTGCTTCAAAAAATGCGAGCCCCACAAAATATTGTGTGTGTAGGAAACTTTTTTGTGTGATGTTATGACAATCCTTTAAACGAATCAAAAAGTAACTTAGTTTAAATTCACAAGATATGCTTGATAATTAATAATAAAAAACAAACTTTCGTTTTATATCCTTCTGACACTTGTCACTAGTCACTGGATCGACCGACATCACTCTGAACAATTCATTGCCTATCAGCTCTTAACGCTAAATGTGAACAGAGCTTTGGTGCTTCAGTAGATTAGATAAAATACAGATTTTAGTTGCAAATTAATCATATTAAAGACATATCAAATTATCAATATAATAATTAAATTCACCATCCTTCTGTCTCATCACTCGGTGCATGCAACATCCACCAATATCATGTTTGGCATAAAATTAATGATTCTTTTTGCTATTCTAGAGAATAAGAGGCTCAATCAGATGAATGAACTCAATGCTATATATGATCTATAAATAGCTTATATATGAAAGAAAAATATACATTAGACTCTAAAAACTCTGCAGAATCTCAGGGAGAAGTACTCTTAGAAAGTCAAGCCAGAAAAAAGCAAAGCAACAAAATGGCGAAAGTTAACTACCCTTTTTAGATTAGAAAAACGAAGAGAAGAGAATGAGAGAAGGTACCAGAAAGCCGTGTAACTGTAGAATTCAACACCCAAAGACATAAAGAGAAGGGATGCAGATGAGAACATGGTCTGGCCCAATCTAAGACTGAAGCTGGCACTAGTGCCCACAGAACCAGGTAATTCATCCATGAAGTTATTGCATAGAGTGTATGTACTGTACTAGTTCTACTTCTTGGTTGTTCTCTTCCCTTGTGATATGCTGTTATCATACACACTCCACCACCACCGAGTTTTGTTATCCAGCTTTATTTCTTTCGGCTGAAACCTTTTGGTTAGTATAAAAACATGATCTATGATAGATAAGATCACACAAAGCCCATGATTTGCACAAAATTCATGACCCTTTTTCTCCCTTGTGCCAAGTATGAAACATGCCAAGGAAAAGAAGAAGGAAACTCCAGCAAGTAAGGACATCGGTTGCACTTTATGACAATAAAGGCATAACTCTTCCAAATAGAAACTTCATGATAGAATTCTGTCTAGTTTTTTGTAGGTGGAAGTTTGGACTCTAGTGCAAAAGCTTTTAGGATCTGCTAATTGAGCAATTATGTGGTTGCTTTTATTATGATGATGGAATTGAAACATGAGCTACTTCGTTTTTAGGTGACATGTCCTCAGCGCCGCTATATTTCTTTGACAGGACTTTAGGTAGAATCGGTTGAGTCCTAACCTTTTTCTGTTTATAGCAGAAACGTTTTTGCCTTCTCTACTTTTGGCGCAAGTAATAAGCCTTCTGAATGTACAAGATAAGAAGATTATTCAATAATGAATGTTAGTGACATAATTTTTTATATTATTTATTGTTAAATCATTAAATAGAACTTAATTTTTATGAGTGAAATTTCATATAAAAAAAAAAAAAGTGTTAGTAACATTTCTGTTATTCCGAAGGAAAGAAGAATGATCAGAAGATGCTTCCTTTGCTATAAGTTTTGGTCCTTTTTCTTATTATTTATTTCTATATTCGATTCTTTTTCTTATATTTTTTATGGGTTATGTTTATCTCATTTTACATGAGATAAACATCTCTCCTACACACACAAAAAGGGTTGGGTCCCACCACTTTTTTTTTCTCTCTCCTCTTACATGTGGGTCTCACTTATACTTTTATTTCTACAACATGAAGTAATTCCTTTCCTACAACATAAGAAAAATATATCCCATTTTTTATATGGTTTTGAACGGTCGATGACTCGACTCCAAACTTGTTTGGGACAAGACGAGGAAGGCATCGTGTCCCAAATGAATTTATGAAGGAACGATTAGAGCCATATTGTACACCAGTGCTTTCTACAGAAGGAACCTAGATTTGCCACTTGTCATAGCTATATTGACCCCATTTTCATTGGAAAGTGATGTGATCTTGTCAAACAAGTGGTAGTGGAGAACCTAGAGAAGTGATGGAAACCAGTCACGTCTAACTTAATGGCCAAAATAATATAATATTATGCGCTATTCCTTAGATTTTGTATATCTCAACGCAGTATCAGAGGCTCTGCTTCCCTTCGAATCTGAATCTTGATTCGATCACGTCATAAACAAACAGCACAGTGCCGCATCAACGAGCGAAGTTTATGCGATCGGGGAGAAAAAAAAAAAAAAGTAAACACAATTTTTGGTCCCTAAAAAAAAATACGATCCCCACTTTAGTCCCTTACAAAAATAAATTAGTCAGTTAGTCCCTAACAAATTCAAAATGAACCCATTTTAGTCCTTTGAGGGACTAATATGGGTCTTTTTTGAATTTGTGAGGAACCACGATTTCAACTAAATGAATCCACTTTGAATTTGTTAGGGACTAACTAACTAATTTATTTTTGTAAAAGACTAGAGTGGAGACCGTGTTTTTTGTTAGGGACCAAAAAGGGTATTTACTCAAAAAAAAATTGATATAACTGAGAAAGAGAAAAAGAAAAAAGGTTGAAGAGAGAGAAAAAAAAATTGATCCAAGTGTCAATTTTCTAATGAAAGAACCACCGTCATGGACCATATTAAAAAATTCTTTGTTGCTGGTGAAAAGTAAGATAAATTTATAGCAAACAAAAAAAAAAAAAATACCCCATCACCACCGGCTAAAAAAGAGAGAGAAAAGGCATGAAGCATCTCATTTTTGCTGCCGTGCCGTGTAGGTTGTGATGCATACCAGATGAACCCAAACATTGTTGAACAGAAAATTAATTTAAAATAAATAAATCTTCATACGCTTATTAGTGTAATATGAGATGCAACAAAAAGTGTTGTCCAATAGCCTTAGGACGTCTCCTCACCATACAATTTATACTCGAAATGTAAACGGGAATTTAATTGTAATAACAACATATTATTGCCTCACAATTTTCAGGATTGCCTACAAACATTACTCCAAAAAATTCTTCCTGACTAGCAAACATCCTCCTCCTCTCGAGACCCACTGCACTTACAAGAAAAACATAAGCACATAAAACATTCTCCAATAATAAAAGTGATATAAGGTAGCAAAAACGAAGGGGGAAAAACAATGATGCAGTAGACAGCTATATGTGACAACAATCATCTGCTGAAATACATTAAACATAATCAAATAAAACAGAGAACTGATAAAAACTTTACGGCATTACGTGCCTAAAAATGGTACATAAATAGAAAAACTGAATTTCTTTTATGTTTGTGACAGGACGGAGAAAAAAAAAACATAATTTAATAGGAATGTTCAGATGTTCATCAAAACTACAATTAAACATAATCCAGAAGTTATAGAAATAAATAATAACATTTCTGCTAAAAAAATTCCAATAAAAATTGAAGACAAAAAAGAAACTGCAGCACAAGTTTGAGACAGCAAATACACTGAAGAAAAGCTACTAGCAAGTGCCATATACTACCTGAGACCATAAATTATGTATTTTGATACTTGACAAGTACATGACAACAGGTTCATCTTAAGCAAATAAAACGAACATAAGATGGGGATATTCCCCACTTTCAAACTCGCAATATATGTGATGACATCTCCTAATCTTATATACAGAGACAACCACAATCACTTACAACTTAAGTTTGCAAAAGTTAATTTTGAAAGTCTAATTAATGATTCGATGTAAAAGCAACCATATAAATCCTATCTAGAAGGATGTTCTTCATCCTTACTGCAAACTCTGAATTCGATCATCAGAGAAATCAGAGGAAAACAAGAGAAAGAAATAGAAGAGAGAAAAAGGATGAGAGAGAAGAGTCTGAATATCTTCTATCTTTGATAAGTAACAACAAACATACACATATGCTCTTTATAGAGCTCATTTACATTGGTGACACGTCAGCTAGTAGGTATTCTGTTATAACAGTAATCAGTTTACTAAAACTGAAATGAGGTAGGAATCAAGTACAACTCAAAGTATAGTATAAGACTAGGCTAATTACAGAAATATCCCTACTACACAATAGACATTACAGAAGCTTTGCTTTCATATTTACACTAATAAATCAGTAGTTTTCAACTCTCTTGTTTTTCTTACACAATGAAAAACATAGGGCTGTAACAGTTACGAGAGATTAAAGTATACTCCTCATTCAAAATTCAATTCATCATATCATCCAATCAGCTGCCAATAAACCAATATTATTTTATCATTTGAATCTCGAAATTTGTTTCAGTTGGATCACAACCATGGACACCATTAGATTGATGATCCACACATAATTCATACAGGCATAAGAAACTTGTATATTGAGATAAATGTTAATCATATGTTATGTTGGTTTACAGTTTACAATTCATGTCACCTAGACAACCTATAAAATGCTTACACAAGAGGGAGCTGTATAATTCACATGAGAGCAAGATCAGCTTAGCTCTACAATATGTCTTGAGCTCTCATACAGACTGCAACACTTACAATAAAAATCACAATTTTAGGTCACCACACAAAATGTTGTTGTTTCTTCTTTTAACTGTTACTTATTCGGTTTACTGCAATTACTAAGAACCCATACGTAATTTGAAGAAGAAAAAAACACTGACTTGCAAAAAATCTACATGTAAAAATCCAAACAAATCCATCAAGATTCTGTCCCTTCCATAGATACCCAAAGGATCTTAAACACAAAAGTTTCAAAATGTATGAACAGGTAGAGAATTCCCAAGATTCGTACACAACTCAAAAGAAAGACGCCGTGCAAGTGGCGAAAAAATTAATTAGAAACGAAGGTAATAAGAGTGATCGATTACCTGAAAAGGAGGAGTGAGAAACTAAAGCTCGAGCTTGAGTTCCTCTTTCTCGCCGTTGAGAAAGTGAAGAATGTAAGGAGTGACACGAATAACAACAACCCATGCCCCGAACATAGCGACATGAGATTTCAGCTGCTTCAGGGCTGCAGCTTTATCTGGCTTGCGCATGAACATTCCTGGAAACATGGCTTCTCTTATCTCACACTGCAACCTTAAACCCTAACCCTAGCTCTCTTCTCTCTTCTTTTAGGGTTTTTGTATTCCCCCAATTGCAATTGCTACACCTTGACTTGTGTTTTCTTTTTGAATTAGCCAAGCGCAATGGTCGAGCAGCACTCACAGCCCATAACGATATGGGCTTGTGATATCCTATATACTCTGCCCAACTAGAGGCCCATAACGTGCCTTTTGGGCCCATTCAATCTTTAGGCTTGATCCAAGTTCAAGGGTCGAGCAGCACTCACAACCCATAAGGACACGGGCCTTGTGAGATCGTATATACAATTCCCAACGAGAAGCCCATAATATGCCCGAGCATTCTAGGCTTTGAGTCCATTTAATCCTTTAGGATTGATCCATATGCAGTTTGGTAGAGATCGTAATCAAAACTATTTATTTTTTATAAAAAAAATCATAATATTAAATTTAAGAAGTCAATATTAATATGATTAATGTACCAAAATCACTTTATGCAAGTATCTTTGAATACTCACTTTTTATATAAAAAGATTCAAAACATGAGTCAAAAATCCAAATATTGCCCGTCACAAACCATATGGCGAATAAAAGCTCAAGTGAAGTTCGACATTTATTCATCACGTGTGACATCCTATATACACTATATAGTACAGTGCGAATTAAGATTGCATTTTACAAACTTCAACCACAATAAAATTGCATGGCAAGAAAGAACTTGTGGAAGTTATTCAATACCAATTTGGCACGGTTAAAGGATTAATTTTTCTTTTATTTGATATGGTTGTCGATCAACTGGAATTAACTTTTTAATTGAAAAAAAAAAGTCAACACTTCCATCTTAGGCTTTTTCATTTTTCACTTGACTTATTGTTAGTTGGATAGAAATATTGCAATAAATAAAAAATCTACTCTGTTTCAATAGTAAATGTAAAGAATTGTTACCATTAAAAAAAAGGAACGTTAGGGTATTTGATTCTTCCAAGCATTTTTTTAGGGGATAAATTATGATAACTTTATCAGTACTTCATACTTCATATTTTTCTATAACAATCCAATTGGTTTTGTTGAAACATCATAAACAATTCAAGGAGAACAATTTTTTCTTAAAATGTATAATAGTCATATTATATTTTTTTGAATATTACAGGAATCGAACTTGCAACCTAATACACACTACACACACCCAACACCACTAGGCTAATCCTAGTGGTGCATAGTTATATTATATTCAACCAAAAAAAAACAATGGTGTTAACTTTTTCTAGCCAATTGTAAGCCTACTCAATTGATTACTGTGTTATAATGAGTATTATTACCCATAAAAAATAACAAAAGTGAATGAACGAAGTACATAGCATACCTAATTTCATCATTATTTTCATGTTGTTCAATGTCAGAAAGGCTAAGAGCACCTCCTTGAGTCAGATAAATTTGATGGTAGCGCCTATAAAGTAACAGCAGATTAAGAGCACAACCAATATCATAACCAACTATCCATATCCTTATAGTCCAAACGGGTCTCTCCCTCTTTAAAAATGGCCAAAGTGAATGTTGTAATGGTTATTTGGATGATGCTGGAATTTATTAAGGCAATAAATTCCAGCATCATCCAAGTGCTAGAATTGAAAGGATTAGAGCCAAGACTGGACCTTGATCCATTTTGGAAATGTAATACTCTTCTAAAGAAGGGTTCAAGCCTTAAACATTGGTATAAGGGTTTGACCCTTTTCATATGATTCGTAAGAAGTTGAAGCTCTAGTGTTTCAGTACAACTTCAATCAAGCATACCTTTCATATAATATTTTTCTAGTATTCATTTCAAGTCTGCATCATGGTAATCAAGGAATTCAAGTATGAATTTCATTGTGTAGCTTTCATTAATCTTGATGTCACTTTGGGCTAGATAGCTGAGAGTTTGTATCTAATGTTGCATTTTTTATGTCGCTTCATTTGATATATGTGGTATTGGCCTAATGTTTAAACCTTTAGGCAGGCAAAGAATGGGAAGAAGAAGCAAAAAATTTAGATATTTGGCAGCAACATTCTTCTTCCCTTTCTGGCACCCTTTCGTACATGTGATCCCGTATTGCTAATCTTCAGGCTTCCTTAGAAGAAAAAGATAACACTTGTGTTGCTTTAGAGAAAGCGAAGCAACAAGCTGAAAAGACAAGGGATGCATAAATGAATGCGAAGAAGGAAATCTAGAAGGAGCCGAAAAAATTGGGTTTTCCAACCAAGTCAAAACTTTGGAAACCATTGTGGCTGCTACCTTTGAGCAGACAAAAAAGAATTTGGAGATGGATGTCGCTAAATACCAAGGTATATAGGAATCTGAAGCTGTGGCTACATACAACAACATCATAGAATAAATCTGTTTCTTCAATCCCACCGCCAAACTTGAAAATGTTCATTTCTTATATTTTTTCAAGAATGGGCAGTTGGTGAAGTTCAATAAGAAAATCGGGAATTAAGAGCCGGTGGAGTTGATTACCGTAATGGACACAGATCTTGTCACCAATCCCGCTGCGCAAGATAACATGGTGATAGGTGATACTGATGTCCAAACTAATGCCGCATGAGGAAAAGCTGATGGAGGAGTTCATTTTGCAACTCATTTTGTTGTTCCTCAATCTTATGAGTTTGTTGCCTAAGGAGCTTCAAATTTTGTTGATTTTTTGGTGTGTTATCTTGCTGATGAGAAATTGGAGCTACAGAGGAGGCAATTCTCTGACAAGATGCCCGACCTCCCTTATTTATGCCTTTGCAAACGTTATGGGATTTGAACATCTTGCTCCTGGTATCAACTATGTTTTTAATGTATAGAGCGTGAGATTCAAAACTGACCGTTATCCACAGATGACGCCAATGATCAAAACCATTTTTATCTGAGCTGACCATGTAATCATCTTCTACACAAATAATTTGATGCAGCTTTAACCCATGGGTCTTCACTTGAACACGATGGAGATGTACTGCAAGACACTACGACACTCAAGTCAGATTTTGTATAAACAAGTTTATTCATGTAGAAGAAAATGTGTACATTGGGTTAACACATTCATATTTATAGTGGAGAGATGACTAGCTTGAAAGATGTCTTTCTTCATGATGAAGGCAATCATCTCTCTTCATTGGCTCTTGTTGGTGGTTTGAGATAAGCTTTGCATAAATTTCTTGGCAGTAAAGTATGCAGAGAAGTTTGTGAAAAGTGGCTTGTTGAAATGTAACAACCTTTGTTGACTTTGTCATTTCTTAGAGACGAAGGCTTTCAATATAATCCTTGTATTTCACTATATTTATTCCAAATCAATTACGTTGTTTAAAAAATGAAGATATTAAATGGAATAGATTCTATCAGGTTGAATTTCATTTTACATTATTTTAAACAATCTAAACAATGACAATGTCATTCTATTCCCTTCTCATTTGTTTTATTCATTTCCATTAATCCAAACTTTTTTTTTTGTGATAAAATTCCAAACATAGTTTTAGGGTGCGTTTATTTGTGTTTGTTTAATTTTGACTTAATATATTTTTACTAAAAATTACAAAAGTGTTACCTGATATTTACTTCTTATTTTGGAACTGATACAAAACAGAATAGAATTGATTATATTTTGTTAGTTTATATTTTTATTCTTATAATAGTCCATTTAGGTTATTTGGCATAGGGTTAAAATGTACTTGATGAAATTAATAATTTATTCGAGATCAAATCATATTTTAACGAATGCAATCATATTTAACAGAACTTCTAAATTTAAGTTTTTGAATTTGATGAGGTTTTAAAAATTAATCTATTTCCTATGTTTTAATTCTCTAAATTTAAGATTTGATTTACAAATCAAATTAATCATTTTTATATTCAAAACACATTAAACATTTTTTTTTTGAAATAAAAAAGAAGCCAATGCCAATTTTCTAAAAAGGAAACAAAAATTGTGTGCATGCACTGTGAATCCAACTATGCAGTACGGAAAAGTCCGTTTAGAAAAACAGAAGAGGAGATCATAAAAGTCATTATTGGGAAAAAAAAATGTCACTAGAAACCTGAGTGCAAACATTGAATTTGGCATGTGAATCAAGAATCGTCTTCCTCCTATTATTATTTTTAATTTTCTTTCTTTCTTTCTTTTCTATGCATGACTATGCTCGCTCTGGTTGCCAGTTATAGAACTCTACCAATTAAGTGTCTGTTTGGATCCTCTTTTTTTTTTAAGATAGAAACTACTTATAAGCATAAGTTAGGCCAAACAGATTTTGGAAAAAGTTATTATAACGAAAAACTCTTTTTTTATAATAAAGAAAAAAAGCTGAAAACTAAAAGTTCATAGAATAAAGATAGAGAAAAATAATTTTCTTGAAATATGTACTTTTAAGTAATTTTCAAGTTAAAATTTGTATGTAGTTTCTAAACAGTTTTTAGCTTCTTTTTTCAACTTTAGCTTATAAATAACTTCTAACTTAAAAATAAGAAAATCCAAACAAGCTCTAAATTGTGTTAAGGAAATTATTAATTCTCTCTCATTACGTGTTTCATCAAAATTTTCAAACTAAGTTGTCTTGATAAAGTTCCTAATTCCTTTAAATTGACAGGTTAATTCTTGTAATAAAATGAGTTTAATAAAAACTTAAATTTTATTACTATCAAATGGCCCACACAACATAAAGAGCAACTCATCATATATACAAGAGGAAGAAAAGACAATGAGTAAGATTTTTGAAAAACTGAATTTTTTTAATTTTTAAATTTTTAAATATTATCATAAATTAAATATTTTCATCGTATTTTTAAAAATCAAAATTTTCGGATAAAAAATAATTTTTCTTTTACCAAACGCTTCATAATATAAATGTGTTGGTACTTGGTAAAGCCCCCATATGACTTGACTAACATTAGCGACGGCGTTGTTTATGAAAGAAAAATCTAGAGGAAGTCAGAGAAGATAACAAACCTGAAAAAAAATAAAAAATAGTAAAAGAGACGTAGAATAAAAATGTAATTAAGAGTAATTTTAACTGCAGTAATTAAATGTTTTATTACAGTCATTGAAAAGTTAAAAAAGAAAACAGAGGGTATTTAAAAATGAAATTGTGTTTCGCATCGCACGTGAGAAACCAGTCAGCAGTCACACATGTCACATCAGAAGAGGAAACATGACGTGTCGCGAATAAAAAAAAGAAAAAATGAGGGAATAACATAGAAGAATGGTGAGTGGAGCAGGAGAAGAAATCCCTTGGCCTTAAATTCACCGAAGAAGAGGTGACGTGTCTCTGTGGAGAAGGAGAAGCAGTCAAGGCCAAGAGTTAGCGAGTGAGTGCGCGCAAAAAGGGAAAAAGAAAACAAAAAAAGAAGAAGCACACAAACACACACACTAACATAACACAACAGTCAACGTTTTGCATTGTCTGTATTATGTGTGTGTTGGGTTTGTGCATTAAACCTCAATTGCACAGTACCTTCTTTTTTCTCTCTCTCTTTATGTCTGAATCTGAGTCTTAAGTCTTAACACAGACCAAAAACCCTATCACCATTCAAACACCATTCCCCTCATCATCACCATGATGGCTCCTTCTCATCCACCCCATCAACTTCATTATCATCATTGGGCCCCATCTCCATCTCCATCTCCGTCTCCAACGCCACTCGTTAACAAGTCTTCCTTATCCCCGTCGTCAAAGTTGCCAGCGGTGGACTTCACCCCGCCTTTAATAGCAATGGTGGTGGTTGTCGCCACCGCCTTTGTCGTCGTTACTTATTCTCGCCTTATCGCCCGCCACCTCAGACCTCCCATCCACCGCCTACTCCGGCGGTTTCGGCGGCGGTCCTTCCTACCGTCATCATTGAGCGACGTTGACTCCCTCCCTTACGAGTCACCTTTCGATGGCCCACATCATGTGATGTTCTCTCCTTACGGTCTTGACGAGTCTGTTATCAAAACCATACCTTTCTCTCTCTACACCGCCAAATACGACAACCGTTTCGAGGATTCACGCCGTGACTGCGCCGTTTGCTTGCTCGAATTCGAAGACGACGATTACGTTCGCACGCTTCCCGTTTGCTCCCACACTTTCCACGTTGACTGCATCGACGCTTGGCTTCGTTCCCACGCTAACTGCCCTCTCTGCCGTGCCGGAGTTCTCTGCGCTCAATCTCCGTTCACGCCAATGATGGCCGCAAGGATCCGACCTAGCCTCGACGACGACGCCATTCTCCACCGGATTAATATGGAACCCATCCTCGATGCTCCGCTTCCGCCGCCGTCTCACTCCTCCTTCCCGGAGATCGTGCCCTGCGTCGACGACCACTCTCCGAGGAGGAACAACGGCAATTCGGAGGATCGGTTTAACGGAAGGGACTTTCTCCTGAAGCGGTCCTATTCGTTCGGGTTCGAGCGGAGCCTGGCGTCGGAGAGGATGGTTATGGAGCCGGCGACTGCGTCGCCGTGGCGGTACCGGAGAGGGAGCAACAGTTTCTGGAGTAAGAGGCCGTCGCCGTTTGGATCGCTGGGGAAGCCGCGGGTGTTTTCGTTCAGGTATTACAGAGGGATGAAGTCTCCGTTTTTCCGGCGAAGGGGGTTCTTTCCGTTGTCGGAGTCCAGCATGAGGTACGGCGGCGGCGGGAGCTCGTCACGGCGAAGCAAGTCGATAGCAAGCCCCATGTTCATGAGATCATCCGGTTTGGGAACGGCGGGTTTTTCGTCAAGCCGGCTGAGGTGCGGTGATCCCGAGGCGCTGCTGTCACCGGAGAGGTTTAACAGAAGATGAAGTGAAATGGTCAAAATGTAAAAGGGTTGAATATATTTGATTTTGACGAAAATACCCCTGAGAGTGGACACGTGGAAGTACGGGACAGGTTGATGGTGCATGAGTGGGAGCTTCGATCGGAGATGGGTGGTGTAATTGACGGAGAATGGAGGGTGATGGTGTGGGTCAGGTCAATGAGGAATTAAATGGAGGTGGTAGCATGCGTTTAATTTAATGGGACTGCTCTGCCAATTTCTAGAGACTCATTAATTGATGGTAACAAGTGCATTTAATTGGATACAGAGACCTAAACTAAAGAATACAAGAGAAGATAGTTTCTTTTCTATTTCCCCCCCCCCCCCCCCCCCCCTCTCTCTCTCTCTCTTATCTATTATTCTCCGTGCCTTTGATCAGACTCTGATGGAGTAAGGGGCAGTTTTAAAGAGGAAGCTCATAAATGAGAGGAGGATAAGATAGAGGTTGGGCTTGGCCCCTTTCATGTATTTTACAACCTCATGTCATGGGGGCATTTGACAAATGGGTTGTGTTTCCACTTCCTTGTTTCATGAGGTAGCAATTTAGTTTTGTTTATGCCACCGACTGAAAAAAGAAAAAGAAAACCCCATGTGAAACAATTCAAGATACAAATGACATAAATTGTAGTGACCTAGGGTGACTCTCTAGGCTTTTGCCCACAGACGTAAGGCATTAATTGTGGCATTGGGTATGCTGACAAGAAAGATTGGTTCTTTCGTTTATGTGAATTCTTTCATCATCACATAATTAATGCCATTTATAAGATTTTGAATTTGGAATCTTTTCTGTTCAATGCATGTCCAATTTCCAGTTTATTATTACAATATACCTTCTTCTTTTTAAAAACCAACGGTGAAGCTAAACTCACTCTCGGGTAAACTAACAAAAAAATCTTGGGGAGTTGTGGATGACATTGAATATAATGTGAAGGCTTATTATGGTGTAATATATGGCGTAATGTTTCGTGTACCTCAATTTCTATACCATGCCTTTCAATGGTTACGTTTGTCAATTTTCGTCGGCTGTCAAAATGCGAACTCCATAAATCCACTTGTTTCTCTTTTTGACAAAACAAACCTAGGAACTTAATCAACCTTTAGCATTGTGGCTACCAATAGTAGTAGTAGTAGTAGCTTCTTTGGTTTGTTTTTCCTTCTTTCTTTCTTTTTTGGGTAAATATTTGTTTTTTCTTTTTATCTTTTACCATAATTAGCAATAGTGGTTAACTTGTGGAGCTATCATGCAAGCTCACCGTGAACTTCATCACATGTCTTTAGGCCCAAACCTAACACTTTTGAGTTTTGACCGTACATGTTGTTCGGCCCATTAGTTTTCAGGTTGGTCTAAGTAGATAACGAAACATCAAACATCACACAACGCGCTAATTTTCCTTCTTCATTACTTTTTTGTTTGGGAAAACAAAAATACGTGGCCTGAGGAAAGTAGCATACAATTCGTCCAATACATGCATCGCCGTCGAGTTAAGAGCTAACATAATAAAATTTTGTAATATATACATCTGTAGTGGCCACATGCATTTTTAATGTAGCAGGGAACATTAAAGATAGCACAAAAAGTTAGGTATTAGTTTTTTTTTACTTATTAACTTATTTTATTTATTTGCTGTGAAAGGCTTGACTTATAATCGGGTTTATTCATTGACTGAAGTGGGGTATTTTCCCCCAAATTTTTTCAATTTAGGATTCGGTAGAAATAATATACCAAAAGGGATGGTCATTTCCCATGCGACAGCACTTTTTGTTTGTTTTCTTATTTATTTATTTAAAGAAATGGGCCAATCATATTATGCCATGTGGTGCAATTTGGTCCACATGCTCCTTAAAAAAACAAAAAAAAATTCCTGTCTTCCTTTTTATTAATTACTATATTAATAATTGTAATCAATATTAAATGATACCCCAATCGTTAATGGAAATTTTATGCAAATCCATAATTATATTATAATTGATTTTTAAACCTGGCATTTGCCATAAAAAAATTTATTTTATCAATTATTTGATAATTTTTTGTAAATTATTAATGGATTAAAATTCTGTGTAAATCCAAAAATTAATTATAATAATACACATTTAAAAATAAGCTATAATCAATTAATTAATTTATACAAAATTTCCATTAATAATTAATTAGTTATAAGTATTGATTGAAAATTATTATTATTATAATAATTGATAATTGTAATTATGTATTAATTATTATTTTTAATTATTTGGTATAGCATGTATTAATATAATTATTTTATAAAAAGGAAAATGATAAATATTTTTCGTTGTTTTTTTGTTAACAAAAGGAACATATCACTGAATTATGCTATATGACAATGTGTATCTTTACAATTCTTTTCATTAAAAATTAATATTTCATTTGGCTTTTGACTTTAATCCAAGATAGATATTTGAATGTATTTTTTTTTTGTTATAACAACGAGGTTAATCGTATATGATTAGATTTTCTCATTGATTTTTATTTCAATTTTTGTACATTTTTTATGTTGTATTACAAAATTGTAATAAAAAAAATACAAGAAAAGCCGAATATAAGGATATTTGTACTGTTTAGACATGTTTATGACTTTTCGGTGGCCGATCTGAAAATCAACCGGATAACGTGAAAGGAGACAAAAGAACGAGAAGAACGATGGTCGGAACAACCGAAAAGAACACCAAATGCGCCACCTGAAGTGGTTGCACATGGACTTCACTCACTGGTACATATCTGGCGCGTGGTTGACTGGTTTCTCACGTTATTTGTTTTAAACTAACTTTCTCACGTTATTTGTGTTTCACGGTGAAATGATGAGGATATCTATTTATTTCTTTGAAGATCACTCTAAATTTTATATTGTAATTAGAAAGTTTGTATTAAATATTGGTGTTCTTATTTTTATTTTATTATTTTATTGTTCTTACAGTTAAAATATAGTTTAAGAAATAACGTTATATTCTCTATACATTTAATTATAGAAAGGATGTTACGTTAAGATGTTACGTTGGTTAAGTGCGTACATGACCAAAGCAATCCTTACAATAATTTGGACAATCCTTTCTTTTTCTTCTTATGTTAACTTTTGAAACTCAATTCGCTTTTAATTTCAATACAAGTTAACGGTACGAATTAAAGTTTAAACTTAGGGTTTTATTATTCTTATGTTACATAAAAATAAATCTATCTCCTACACACATAAATTCAAGATGAGTCCCATTTTATTTATTTTTTTCTCTTTTCTTGAAAGTGGATCCTCCTTATATAAACGAGTCAGTAGAAGATAATTATTATCTCTTACTACATGAGAAAATTATTACCCTTAAATTTAATTAGTACGATAAAATTGCATTTAGATTGACATTTTGCGTTGTGATGTTTTAAATATATTAAACAAATGACATAATTCTGTTAAAAAAAATAGTGTATCCAAACACACCCATTAGGACAAATCCTAAACACATATCAAATGGATGACGTTGTGACCCACTTAATATAAAATGAAAAAGTTTTTATTGAATTGATTTAAAATCTAAAATTTTTACTAAATTAATGTAATGAGACATATATGGGTAATGGGTCACAAACTTTTAAATTGCACATCTCCACATGTGCTATTTAAACGCGCATAACTCTCTTATATGTCTCGTCGTATTATTTGATAAATATTTAAATTTTGCATTATTATGGCTAATAATTTTAGATTTTACATTAGTATTGTTATTAAAACAAGATCAGACTAGTCGGTGGCATTTGTATAAAATATTTGATATATAGCAGCTGTTAGGAATCAAACCCGTGTCATGTGGATGAACAGTATAACACTTACTACTTTAATCATTTGTTAAGATGCATCTTTTAATAGGGGCATCATCCTTTAATATCGGTGTCAAATTTTGAAATTTGATACCAATTTTTTTTTGAAAATATTTCATCGGTTCATCCTTTAATCATTAATTCCTAATAAATAATAACCGTTGATTGGCGGAAATCAACGGTTAAAATTTGGTGTCAAATTTCAAAATTTGATACCAGTATCAATGAATCCTATCCCCTTTTAATATATTTATTATGTGATTTAATATAAATTTAGTGGGTTCGCCACTTCTGCAGTGACATCAGCAGATGGAAATTTTTACAGCAAACATATTTATACTAGGATCTGCTAACATTTAAAAAAGAGAGAGACAGGATCCACATGCATATTCTTTCTTTCTATGCGTTGCTGTAATTTTTTTTATCTACAACAACATAAAAAATATTAAAGCCTATTTTCAAAAAAAAAATATTAAAGCCAAATTTAATTTAACCAAAACACATTGATCCGGTACCAGTGTTTAAAAACCCGGCCTGACCATCGACCCGACCGAGGTCAGGGGTCAAGTGGTCACTGCGCTGACCCGGTTTTATATATTAAAAAAAGAATAATATTTTTTTTATGTTGTAGGAGAGTGATTATCTCTTGTTATAGAAATAAAATTACAAGTGAGACCCATACGTGAGAGGAGAGAGAAAAAAGAGTGGTGAGACCACCCCTTTTTGTGTGTGTAGGAAAATTATTTATCTCATGTAAAATGAGATAAACATAACCCTTAAAAAAATATAAATATATATATCCTATATAAAAATATTAAAAAACAAATCACCAATCATTAAAGATTCAAAATATATTTAACATAATTCACCAATTACAACCACAAGTTAATATTACACAACCTAAGTTAATATTACACAACCTAATTAAAATATCAAGATACCAAAGTACAAGACTCATATTCTAATGATACCAAAGTATCAAGGTACCACACGTTTAAGTCGTTGGGAGAGAGAGAATATTTAGATTTAGGTTTGCAAGTATTTTTATTTTATTTTTTTAATAAAACGACGTTGTTTCATGAAATTTTCTTTAAAAAAAAAAACATATGCAGTGACCCTGTTTGACCCCTCTGACCCGGGAGTCATTGAAACCTGGCCTGATTTTGGAGGTCGGAGGGGTCGATGTGCATATAGGGTCCAACTTGTGACCCCAACCCTAAGAGGGGAGGGGTCGGGGTTGACTCGAGTCAACCCGGGAGGTGGAGTGGAGTTTTAAAACACTGTCTGGTACCTTGACCGAGTCCATAACATGTTCTAGTTTAATAATATTGATTAAAAGTCCGATATTAGACATAATTTTTTTTTTCATTTTGCAAAAAGTAGTAACAAAAACAAAAAGTCTAGTAATTTATCTTTTTATCTTGTTTATCTATTTTTAGGCAAGGCATCCCCAGTTGCTCACCAAACTTTGACAGCAAAAATAAATGCTCAAGGTGGGTGTGCGTTGCTAAAAATTGACAAATACCGAAACTGGCACAAAGAGGCTCATAAAAATACCGCTACAAAAATAGTTCAGATATTATTTGGAAATGAATTTATTGCTTCAGATCAACCAACTCTTCTAACGCCATCGATCCCTTGTTAAATTCATCTACCCTTTTAGATAACAAAACACCCCACTTGTTAAAACATTCCACAGTTCATCACAATGCCGGAGGTATACACTGTGAAGGTGGAAGAAGCAAGGCCAGCAACTCATGAAAAGCCATCAGCAGGTCCTGTCTTTAGGTGCATTTATGCCAAAGATTCTCTCTTGGACTTGCCTTCTCATTTTCAATCTCCATGGGACTTCTTCAGGTCACTTTATTCAATGTTCAAATGTTTCATAATATTGGATTTATGACTTAATCCACATAATGCATGATGTGTTTTAAGTTCTGATGAAATTTTTTGCCTTAAAAATTCTGGGAAACCCGTTTTGTTCTTTTTAGTTGTCAAATCCTTCTTCTTGAACCTCACTACATTGCACACATTTTAGACATTAAGCTAATTAATTGCATGAAATCTTAAATAATGTTATTAGAAATATTTGGAATTATGATATAAAAATATGTTTAATAAAAAAAAAATGGCCCATGCAGGTCTCGAACCTGCGACCTTCGCGTTATTAGCACGACGCTCTAACCAACTGAGCTAATAGGCCACTTGATTTTCAATTATTAATATTTTAATTAAAATTTATTTACAAATCGCTTCATTTTTGGGCGTTGATTGAAACCTCTGAAGATTGAATATGAAGTTGTAGAAGTGTATTTGTAGTTTGGTTTGAGAATTCATTCTGAGCAGTTTTGATGCTTCCCAATGCAGGGACACTACAATAAGGTGCCCCGGCAATCCAATGCTGGGTCGGCGTCAAAAAACAGATTCTAAGGTACCAACATTTATTAAAAAATAAAATTTGTATCAATTTAATTTCTTATGACATATGAGAGTGATTATATTTTGATTAGTAGAGGCTAAATAAAATAAATAAATTAATAGGGACTAAATTAATAATGAACACAATTATAGTGGAACCAAATATAATTTTTCACATATAGCTAACTACCTAAAAAAAAAATCAATTTTTTCGTTGAATGGGGTAAATTATGTGAACATTCAGCTGAATTTGCAGGTGGGTCCCTATGAATGGCTTACATATCAGGAGGCTTATGATGCTGCCATCCTAATGGGTTCCGCCATGAAGAGCCGTTGTGTCAATCCTGTAACACATCTTGCTCTATCAAAGATACTATGTATTGGGAAATATATGTAAATAATCTAACTATTGCTTTTATTATATCACAAGGGAGACCGTTGTGGCATATATGGATCCAACTGCCCTGAATGGATAATTGCAATGGAGGTAAATATTACTTTGATTTTGTTCTAGATACAACTTACATTAGGTCCACCAGATGGGCCCAACCTCTCAAAGCCCACAGTCTAGAACATTCTAGAGGGCACCCATGACAAGCCATAGATGCTCTTCATTGGGACATTTCCCTTTTCCTGCACTGCTGCCCCTGTACACTGAGGGGGACAGCTTGATGAGACAGCTCATGGGCTGACCAGCTCAAGCCCCCATGCAAGAGATGACTCTCCTCTCTAAATACCCCTCTCACACATGGAGAGAAGGGCTTGATCTTCTTCCCCACTCTCATATGCTGTCACTCCGCCTCTATGCAGAGCCCTCACACACACTCTCCCTTTGAGCACATTCATGGGAAGCTTCACTAGTGGCTTGGTCTCTATCAAGGCCACTATGAACACCCCCTATATCACCCTCAATAGGACACATCTATGTACTGCCATGAGTACAGATTTTATGTGGGAAATTACACTTAAGCCACTCTTTAGTATGTTAATCACAGTTAGGGACCAAATTGAACCATGTGTTCATTTGGTTCCTAATTATAGTTATGCAACTCAGATGGGCTAATACCTTATTATTATTTTGTATGATTAGCATTATTAATTATTTCTTTGGGACTTGAGTGACTTGATTCAAATTTGCTCTTTGCAGGCTTGTAATAGCTATGCAGTAACATATGTCCCATTATATGACACCCTCGGTTTGTGTTTTTGTGCATTTCCCAATCAGTCTCAATATGCTTGCTTTTACTATTTCAAACATTTCACTCATCCTGTCATTCAGCTAGAAAATGACTTTAAATTTATGACTAACAGGTCCTAATGCCGTGGAATTTATCATCAACCATGCTGAAGTTTCCATAGCATTTGTACAGGATAACAAGATTCCATCTGTAAGTTCTGTTTCATTTCTTGGAGCACAAACTTTGTTTTATTTCTTGGATTCCTTATAAGTTAGACACCTTCAACAGATAACTATTTCAATTCTATCGACTGTGTCTTTTTTCCTAAGAAATTGTAGGATAAGAAAGCCATTAGCAGCTTTGTAAAATGAGTTTTAAATAATTTGTTTTCAGATATTTCTGAAAGCCAATTACTTAAAACAGTAATTAAAACCAAGTTTTCTATTTTGAAGCTTACAAAATGTTACATATACTGCTAGTCCTATTTTATATTTACTGTACTTCTTGTAAATTCTAAGTTATCCATTGTATTTCTTGAAGATAATTAGCTTAGCATCTGAGACAGCATTGGGCATCTCTTTTTTATGATTTTTCCCCCCCACTGAAGTAATGACTGTTTCCACAGATCTTGTCATGTCTTGATCGGTGTTCTTCATATATTAAAAGTAGGTTAAAAGTTTCTATTTTCTCTCTGTTACTATTAGTTTAAGAGGCTTTCCTTCTTTTGATAAGGTTACCAACCTTTGTAATTTAATGGTGTAGCTATTGTGAGTTTTGGTAATGTTTCAACCTCACAAAAGAAGGAAGCTGAGGAACTTGGTGCATGCTGCTTCTCGTGGGGAGAGTTTCTCCAGTTGGTAGGATATTAACCTGGTTTTTTAATTGCCTATCTGTATTTAAAATTAACAACATGAACCATTTTGATTGAGTATTATGAGATTTTTTTTTTTCAACATTTAGTCATGTATCTATGTTTCTCCAGGGAAATCTGGATTGGGATCTACCTTCAAAAAAGAAGACTGACATCTGCACAATCATGTACACCAGTGGAACAACAGGCGAACCCAAAGGTGTCATTATTAAGAATGAAGCTTTCATGACCGAAGTGTTGTCTGTGGATCAAATAATTCTTTTAACAGACAAAGCGGTAAGATAAGTATTTTTCTTGAAGTTCATTAGTTTCATGTAATGCTTTTACAAGTAAATAGAAAAGTATGAGTTTGCCATATTTGCATAACGTCAAGTGCTGATACAAAACATATACTATGTTTTATTTATAGGCAACACAAGACGATGTGTACTTCTCTTTTCTTCCTCTTGCTCATGTATATGACCAGATAATGGAGACCTATTGCATTTACAAGGGCTCCTCAATTGGATTTTGGCAAGGCGTAAGTTTTGGATTCAGTTACTTATATTAATTTCTGGCTCATTCTTTATGTGTTCTCTTTCCTCATGGAATTTTTCATGTTAATTTCTGCAGGATGTCAGGTTCTTAATGGAAGATGTTCACGCACTGAAACCAACTATATTTTGTGGCGTTCCTAGGGTTTATGACCGCGTTTATGCTGGTAAGGAAAGAATGCTTCTTGTGCTACTGCTATTAACTTCTTGTGTGCTACCTTATTTTAGTAGTGTTCTAAGCATTGAATTTAAGCTCCTTGTACTTGTGTAACTACATTGACCAATAAGCTTTGCGCCTGAAGGTATCAAAAGCAAACTTTCATCTGGAGGAGCAATGCGAAGTGCATTGTTTCAGTATGCATATAACTAGTATGTTTTGCTGCTAAACTCCTCACCATTTTATACTTTTAGTTTTCTATCCTTGTGCAAACTAATCTGGAATCTTCTGACAGCAAGTTGGGATATCTGGAGAAGGGTCTTCCACAAGACAAAGCAGCACCTCTGTTTGATAGGCTTGTGTTTGATAAGGTATTCCACTTTATACTGTGTTTTTTGTTCAGAAAGTCTTGTTTTAAAAATTGAATTGTTGTTTTTATTGATAGATAAAACAAGCATTAGGTGGACGAGTTCGTCTCCTTACATCAGGAGCTGCTCCTTTGCCTAGGCATGTGGAGGAGTTTTTGAGGGTCACTTTTGGATGTACTCTGTCCCAAGGATATGGTATGGTATTTGAATCTATTGCTAAAATGATTCAGGTGGATTATTTTACGCCATTTTGATGATGACTCTTCAATGCAGAATTTCATAAGAAATGGTTCCATCCTATAAATCTGTTCTAGCTTTATGTTGGCATTTCTTGATTTGATTTTTTTTTTTTTTTGGTTCTTGAGGATTACATTTCATTATAATGGTCACATGTTAATCCAGAAGTGTATATGGGTGTGCATACCATTTAATTACAAGCCACATTAATTTATTATCACTTTGATATGACAGGTCTTACCGAAAGTTGTGGCGGGTGTTTCACTGCAATAGCCAATGTGTTTTCTATGATGGGAACTATTGGAGTCCCCATGACAACCATTGAGGCCAGGCTTGAATCTGTGCCAGATATGGGATATGATGCACTTTCCAGTGAACCCCGTGGAGAAATTTGCCTGAGAGGGAATACCTTGTTCTCTGGTTACCACAAGCGTCAAGATCTCACGGAAGAGGTCCTGGTTGATGGTTGGTTTCATACAGGTAAATCCTCATGTTGTTATGGATTAATGCGGCTCTACAAAGTCAATGAAGAATTCCTTTTTCCATGCTCTGTTAGGATTCTCCACTTGAAAGTTTAGTACTTGTTAAGAACCTTGAGGTCACCACCCCAAAAGCTAGCTCAAAGGGTGGAAGTGCCCAAGGCCTTATAAACTCCACATTAGTTGCACATACAACCAATGTGGGACTATATATCTCAACACGCCCCCTCACACAAGAGCCCATTGGGCTTGAAGAGTGGACAATGTAACAGGCCCAGCTTACCTGTGCTAAGAAACGCCACAAGAGAAAGTGGGGGGCGGCGAGGCTCTGATACCATGTAAAGAACCTTGGGATAAAATCTGTACATAGGGGTCTCCCACCCTTTGAGCTAGCTTTTGGGGTGGTGTATCCCAAGGTTCTTTACAGTACTCTTACTTGTTTAGGCACCACTCAGATTCTTGTAAAATTGCTAGTACTTGATAGAATGAGAGACATTCCTGAACAGAAAAACAAATTATATATGTATTTATAAATCTGAAAAGAGTTTTATGGGCTGTTTAGGACTTAGTAATCTCCCCATTTGCGATATAAAATCACTTGTTGAAATTATGGAAGGCACTTTTCATTGATAATTGAGCTATCCAAAACGATGTTCGTATAAGAATTGGTTCAACATTGTTTACTAAAGTTGGGATCCCAGTGAAGAGGGCACATAAGAAATCAAGTCTTGAGAGTTTTGTCATGAACTTCTACCTTTCTCCGTTCTTGTTTTTCTTTGCATACATACTGCATAAAGATTATTAACTGGAATGATTTGAAAATTGTTGCAGGTGATATTGGAGAATGGCAGCCAGATGGAGCCATGAAAATTATTGATAGAAAAAAGAATATCTTTAAATTGTCTCAAGGAGAATATGTTGCTGTGGAGAATATTGAGAACAAATATTTGCAGTGCCCTCTTATAACATCCGTATGTTTCTGCTTCAAACACAGAACATTCTCCAAAATTAGAGAAACAGGAATTATATTGCATTTTTGTTGGATGCCAAGTTTTTATAGGAAAGTTGATTTACAAAGTAACGTTGCAATGTACCTCAATTATTAAATTTATGCAATTCAATTAATGTATAACGTTTTTATTATATTTGCAGATTTGGGTCTATGGAAACAGTTTTGAGCCTTTCTTGGTGGCAGTTGTGGTCCCTGAAAGAAAGGCCCTTGAGGATTGGGCAGTGAAGCATAATTTGACTGATGATTTTAAATCTTTATGTGAAAATCTGAAGGCAAGAAAATACATTTTGGATGACCTCAACAGCACTGGTAAGAAACACCAGGTATGTATATAGAATCCCCAATTCCATGCACTTAATTTCTGGTATTATGCTATATTTTAATCTCGCTAGCTACATTTGACATGATTGATATTCTCTCAGCTTAGAGGCTTTGAGCTGCTAAAAGCAGTTCATCTGGAACCAATTCCCTTTGACATGGAGAGAGATCTAATCACTCCAACATTCAAATTGAAGAGGCCACAATTGCTCAAGCACTATAAGGTTTGTCTCATGTTGTGTGATCAACATTGTAACAACTAACTTTCTATTTCACTTTATAATACAAATATATTTTGGTCACAATTTGCACCAAAATGTGCATCACTTTTGGTTTATCAGGAAGCAAAACCTTTTAATAATTTCAATAGATGTTGAAGTGCTTAAGTTACTAAGAAAATGAAGTGTTACTCATGCATCCAAATAAATAAATAAAATATTATTTGCCAACATCATTTGCAGGATCATGTTGATAAACTATACAAGGAAGCAAAGGGAGCGATGGTGAGAGCCAAGTGACAAGCGGGAATTTTATATGCAATTGTATTGATTTCTGGCAGTTTCCTCATAATCCATTCTGAATTTTTGTACATTTTGGTTCATTATCTATTGAATGAAGTGAAAAGCCATGAACAAAGCTTGAAGTATATTGAAATAAAATCTCGGTATGCCATTTAGCAATTCTTAAAAGATAACAAAATAAAGATTATTTCGCGTTTTCTATTTTGGCGCCGACTGTTTTCTCATCTAGTCCATAATTTCTGCCACAGGAATATAGTGGATAGCGATAATGCTGAACCTGAACTTGGATTTTCATTCCACTCTTAACCTTATGCTTGTTGGTAATGTTTTGATTACATGTTGATATTTGATAAAGATGAAAGTAGTATTCTTAAAGGACCAAAGTTCCGGGGGAAAAAAAAAAGTATTCTGAAAGGACTAAGTTGTTGCAAGTTGCAACTACCTTAAAAGTTGTTATACGTACAATGCAGAGCAGTGGTAAAATTATATTATATTCCACAAGCAAGAATACAATAATTTCCTCAAATCACGTTTGATATGTGAATACACAAGAAGCTAGAAATATATATACTACATCAATCCTCTTTTATCATTTTATTTTTTACATTCAATGAAGCCAAAAAAGTCTTTCAATGAGATTTGATTTGACAATTTAAAACATGCAAACAATAAGACATAGGTCATGAAGCAATGGCAGAGTATTGCTAGATACATCCAATAAATGAATGATACAAAAGGCAATTGGTCTAATTCACACATATCAACCAAGTCCAAGAGTTGGTGCCTAAAGAAGTATGACCACCAACGCCCATATGGGATAGACTAAGAGAACGATTATGCCAATGGAATTTGATATGCCATGAGCTCTAGTGAAGGAGTTTCTAAAACCACCAGATGCCCGAATGTGTTCTTGCAGCAAATAACATGCAATTATAAGGCACACTACCACCCCAACAATGTTGTCTCTAAAGGTGCTTGCAATTAGAGATGGAGCTACAACCATAAGAAGAATCAAAGCACCAGGTAATTCCAGCCAATCTGCAATAACAATCATGACTAGTTACTAAATATAGTCAATGTTTCCCTGTACTTAGTTTTAGTATATAGTAAAGACTGACATATACTTGAGATATGAAGTGGTATTTTGCTCTGGAATGACACAGATCACCAATAAGGATAGCAGCAGAATATTTGCATGTTCGATCAATGGTTACCAGTAAAGAGTTTTCAGACACATTAACTATATTAGTGAGCATGATTATACTGTAAAGTCTCAGAAAAATTGTACCATACCAGGAAAGTGTTTAGGAAAGAAAAGCCGTAACACAACTGCAACAAAAGCAATCCATTTTCCAATCTCTCCCCTGGGTATCCATAAGTAGAATTGTTATTAAAAGGAAATTTAATAGATTAGAGAAAAATGATGGTACAAATTTGATGACAATAAAGTTTGACAAGCTAATCACCTGAAGACATTGAAAATTATTGAAGGCAAGCTGAAGAAAATGTATGGAATGAGTAGTGATGTAAGAATGTTTGTCTTCCAGTTTGTACGATCCAAAATCAACAAATAACTGCAGAAAACATATCAAAATAATCAGTGTAGTCATAGTAAAACTATAGTTTCTCCATGAACTTTATTAAGTTGTAAAACGTAACTGGTATTGCCTCTCATTTTTTAAGACTCTTGAATTTAATGATGTTTGAAATTTTATCTCTCACTAAATTTTTTTTGGTATGCATCTCTCACTAAATTTTACCTCTGAAGAATAAAAGGAAATAATAAAAGCTAACATCTAATAAATTAAAAAAAAAATGCAATTGCTTATGAAATATATGGGCCCAATCAACATTTGTGAATGATTATCTACGATGAGAGAGATCCATTAATTCCCCAATATCTTGAGTGCGTTAACATGGTGGACCTCCTAGCATTAATAATATCTTGTCTGTGAAGGGATCTTATCCAAATTCAAAACTCATCCACCATCTACCTATCTTTAAGTAAGAGAGACTTGAGGTATATTTGATGTTAAATAAATTTATATTATTAAATGCGTGCCATATTAAAGCTGTACTTGAATTGACTATTTTATATTCAATAGCTTATTAAGAGAATTTTATAAAAAAATAAATATATTATTGTCCTAAATAATAAAAACCAAATATGCTATAATTATTTGGACTATTATTAGTTATATTAACGGTTAATGCTTAATAAAAAATTGATGTTGAATAACTGTTAACAATTTTTTATTAAGCATTAACCGCTAATATAACAAACTGTGAACAGTTATTATCAAAAATCAAATTCAAGAACTAAAGTGAAAGAGAACAATAGCACATACATTAGGAGAAGTGCTTAGAAATTTCTCAAAAAGTAAAGAAGGGACGAATAAAGAGTCTGAATTGAATTCAGCAAAAAGAGAGCTTAGAAGCAGTAAGAAATAGCATAGAAACACAAAAACAAAGGAAATTATTGAGAACAAAAATAATCTCAGAGATATGGAGTTAGATCCAATAATCACAATTCACAACACCACCTGAATAAGAGATTTATTCCTTCAAGTTCAAGCATGATCAGCAACCGAATCACCAAAAATTCATATAAGGGGTGATATGAGGTGCAAGTGATGAAGTTGGGGGTTGTAGTTTCATAAATTACAAAATAAATCTCCAGCAAAGTTTGACATAATTTTAAAGAAATTAAAGGATACCCTTTGAATAAAATTGCAAAATGGAAGTAAAAAACCATGGCCTTTTTATATTTTGCAAATACAAAAAAGAGATAGATTTGGTTTTGGAGTAGAGTAAAGAGTACATACATAGCAGCAATGGCAGCAATCAATCCGAAAATAGAGGCTCCAAAGCCTATGCCACCAAGTTTAATGGCATGTTGGGCCAATTTATTAGCAGCTAGACTCAGGTCCCTGAAATCAGAGTTGATCAATTGAGCAGCTTCTTCTTGAAAATCCATCCTCTTAAACATTTTCTTCCAAACTCTCAGAAGCAGGAAAAACAGTGACAGAATGAAACAGCGAATGAAATTCAAACAAATATTAAGCAAAGCTAAGGGATCCACAAATCTATATGTATGGACATATGAATATGGACACGTTACTGGGTCTCTTCCACGTGGAGATCAATAACTTGGCAATAATGTAGATATAGATGTGCTGGCGTATGATGTATGACAGCTGGTCTTGCTTTCACTAATTTTTATTTTTTGTAAGACAAGTCCTACAAGCAAGAAAACTCCAGTATGGTAGTATCGATAAACTACATATATTAAGACTATAATATTTGTTTTATTTATATTCTTATCAATCATGCGTTTGGTGTCATGTGAATAAATAATGAGGAGAAAAAGGTTGTGTCTGCCACGTACTAAAGCAAACCTCGCTCATATTGTGTGGGTCAATATGTCTCGCAATTGGGCCATGTCACCATCCGGCATTTGTTTATTTGTATGTCGGTAAACCATATCCCAACCTGTTTCCCTCCCGGTTTTAATTGGTTTTCCCTTTTCAAGGATTGGCCTTTAATTCCTCACTTCCTCAATTTCCTAACTTCATTCCATTAAACTGATTAAAGAATTGGAACACAAATTGAGGGTTATCATAAACTTCTATTATCTGTTACGGATTTGATCAAGCTTTTTTTAAGGTATAATTGTGCTATTTTTTCCCCCAATTTTTAATTAGGCTTTAATGTTTCTAAGTGAATGTAGATAAGTTATTTATATTTACTCTTAAAAGAGATGTCATTTTGAATTGAAAAAATTAAAAAATTATAATGAAAAATACTATTATAATCCTGAAATAAATTATAACTACAAAAAATACTTTGATTTCCGTCTCAAAACGATGTCATTTTAAATTCAATGTAGATAAATTGTCTATATTGACTGTAGAAAAAGATAATCCTTTAAATTATGCACATATTGTGAGTTTAACTTTTAAACTTTGTTATAATGTTTTTTTTATAGAAAACAAAGCATGGGACGTGGGGTTGGATTAATGTATTGTATATTGAGAAGATTATGAGGGTGGTAATTCTTGACTCGAGATGCTGATATAATATGAAAATTTATGTTTAGATTGATTTATATTTAAATTTGTGTCATGTTGAATTATTGGCAAAATATGATACGTAAAATTCTGTATCATATAGTGTCACATATCAATACGCAAATATGAATTTAACTTGTATTTTTTTTTGTTAATCAACTTTTTGACCAATGGTTGTAGTTATCTATTGTGTTTCTCGTGGTATAGTGTCAACTAGCAAGATTTGTGGATGTATTTATATTAAAGGTTTTGACACAAATTATTTTGTGTCATATTCGTACAGTGCGCGTCGTGTTAATCTGAAATGTCACATATAAAGATTATATGTGTTTTGGAAGAAAATTTTATCTGCAGCCGATGTATGTACATACTAGCCAAAAGAGGTAAGATTTAGGGATAAGAAGGGAAATAAAAAAACAAGGATAGAAATGAAAAAAAAAATTCTCCATTTGATAAAAAGATGTACCCAAGTGGGTACATAAGATGTACAAAAAATTTCGTGTTTACGACCTGCCACGCTAGCTTAATCTAATTGGTTGGCCATAGAGGTCCATAGAAAGTATTACACCCATGTATTTTTAAAGTAATTTTTTAGAGTAATTTGGTGTAATGTATAAGACCTGATAGTATAAACTTATACTATACGTTATGAGCTTATAAGGTGTTTGGTGTGACCATTGTATAGTATAAATGTAACGCCCCATCTGCAACCGGTTAATTAGCATTCATATAATATTTAGCGCAGCAAATTTTAAACTTAACAAATGCGGAAGCTAACTGATTAACTTTTTTCTTTTCCTTTTGTATTACAATTTTCATCGCTTCTTTAGTCAAAATAAAACGGACAACATTTTGTCTGTATTTCGAATCACTAGGAATAATCTCCACCATGATAATTTTAACCTGATTGATAATTTAATTTAATCCAGGCATAAATCATATTACCCATCCATCCATAGCATAGGTTATCCCATACATAACAGGTCTCAAAATAATGTTCATAGAGCTATTTACATGATTACATCAACCAACCAAAAGAGATGTAATTAAGTAAGTAACCTAGACATATGAAGACATAACTAACAAAATAGATAAACTATCAACATGACATAGACATCTCCTATGCTCTCCAAAAGAATAACATGGTATATATACATATCCAAAATAGGACCATGTCAAGTATATATCAAAATAACAAGCTAATTCTGACTATCAAGCCAGGTAATATCTCTCGTCTGGCCTCTTGCCACACGATACCTCAGCACCATCAACTCTTGTACCTGAAATGGTAATCCCTATAACGCAGGGTGGGATAATTTAATTACCTCAGTAAGCTAGGGACTCTTGGAGGGCTCCTCCACCCCTAAGCTCATTTATGGAATAACCACAATATAAAATCCATGCATGCATCAGAATATGTATATCAATGCAGTGTGCAGATAATATATCCTACTGGCTAAAGAATAAAACATATATGCATTACGTAAGGTAACTCATCTTGCAACATACTCATACAAGGTAAGTCATTATGTACTACGCATAAGGTAACTCCTCTTATGCTTCACACGTAAGGTAACTCCTCTTGTGTGGCACACAAACATACATACATATGCATGCACTATATAACAGTTTATATCCACATACCATATGAAAGAACCATCCTCCCTCGAAGTCTGGATGGAACAAACAGGGGATTAATCCAAGGACAGAAAGCTTACATGGCAAGCAATGTCCTTCAACAAATCTCGTATCCACAGAGTCACAATCACGATCTCTCACAAGGTCATAACCTAGTTCCAAGATGTGAAGGCAATTAGTACATAACTAATCTATCACATTCAATTTCCAACACTACACATACAAGACACCTACACTTCATTTTGAGTCCAATTTATCAAAGTGTTCTAAATGACAATTTCATAATTTTTTCTTTTACGGGAACAAATCTCAAAATGTTTAACAAAGGGACTCACATAAAATCACCATCCAAGTACTCAAGCCATCAAATTTCTGAAATTGACATATAGCCAAAATATCATGATTTTCTATAGTAAGCTAAACAGTGATTTCTTTTATTGTCTTTCATCAAGTAGTAATCCTAAAAATATTTAACAAAGGAAGCTATATCCAAATTACTCTCTAACTGTCCATACCATGACTTACCTCAATGTGAAAAATCCACAAATCTCCAACTCAAGCGAATGTGGATTCCAATCCATGAAAATTGCTCAAAACAACGTTGGGATCAACTCTACAACATAAATATACCACAAACAACCATCATAATCCATAAAATCCTCACATTTTCGTGCACTATTCATCACAAAACCTAACTTTCTTGAAATTCCATAAAAATGAAGTTGGAGTTGGGGAAACTTACCATAAATCATGCTAGACTACTAGGAAAGATAAATCTCAAGCTCCATTGTTCCCAAAACACTCAAATCACCCAAATTTCTTAAAAAAAAGAAATGGTAGAGGGTTGGTATCTCACTCCACATAACTCCCCACTTGAAAATGATGGTTTGGCTTTGAAGAGGGGATGATTTGACACACTTTTGACTTTGGAACCAAGTGATTTGGAGGTCTCTAGCTCTCTCTATGTTTTTGGAAAATTTCAAGCTCTTATGTAATGGGGAAGGGGTTCTGTCATCGGGGGAGGAGAAATGAGAGAGAGATAGTGTGATTTGTTTACTTAAGTGAGTTCAAACTAACCCGGTGGGTATAAACGTATCTACCCCGCTCACTTATCTCTCATTCCAACTTTACACATTAGTTCAGAATATTTTTGTGGTAATATTTATAATTTCACTTTCACTTTTTGGGTAGCTTTGTTTACGCACATTTTTACGCCAACACTATCATTTTTACTCTTTTTCATCAAAGGTGACTTTAATTCATTTTATTATAGGCTAGAGTCATTATAATAAGCTTATATATCAGGATTCCTTAATACATTAAAATGATGTATAAACTTATCAGATCTAAGAGGGGGAATTAGACCTTTAGGTTAATCGTTTCCTATTTTTCTATCCCCTCTTATATCCTTTTTTCTTCTTCTTCTTCCCCCTTTCTTTCCCCGAGGTAACGCCCCTATTTTCTTCTTCTGACCATAATATCCAAACATTTGCGGATGAAGTAACCAGGAGAAGCATAGAAATTAGGTAGTGTTTGGTAGAAGATTTATTTTGGGATTGATGAGAAAGTGTAAGTAGATATTGGAAAATACTATGTTTGGTTCAGGTTTTTGAAAGAAATACTAGGCAAATAAGATAGATGGAAAAATGAATTTTGTGTTGATTTTTGAATGAAATTCACTGTTACAGAATACCACTTGAGATGTGGTATTTTGAGATAACTGGGGAAGTGAAAAAACAAGTGCGAAGTTTCTTCTGAACATAGATTTTGCAAATTTAAATAAATTTCTCTGGTAATATTTTGGTCAACCAAACAATTTTTTTACATTTTCCTACCAAACTCATTTTCCAACCATTTCCCTAGTAATTACATTTTCCTAGTATTCAAAAAATTTCTCCTCAACCAAACGCCCCATTTAAAAACAAGCATGTCGTCGTTGCTTCTGTCAAGAAGCCAGTTGAATATTAAGATTTAACGGAGTCATTATGTTGTTGTCTTCTAAATTTGTAATTTAAAACCCTAGCCATGTTGCACTTTTTTTTAATTTGTTTATATATTTATAAATTATTTTTCTTTAAATTTTATTTTTTGGACATACTGACTAATAGATTTTTTAAAAATTGATATTATATGACATATTTAGAAGAATTATATAAATTTTTTATTAAAGGGTATTTTTGTCAATAATATTTATTTTTATTTTATCTAGTATTATACAGCACATTACCAAATACTGAATAATATTATCTTATATAATACATTATCTTATACAATGTCATGTTAAATGCTGGATTGTATTAAAATTTAATTGAATCTTATACTCAGACCTTATA